TGTAGTATGTTTGTTAAAAATGCATAAATTTATTCTTTGCGATCATTAATGGGGCATAGTGAATTAACCTATTCATTGTACCCCAATTCACTGTGCCCCGCCATAACAAACTAAGTTAAAGCATTATTTCTTGGGATATGAATGTTGTCAAAATAAAAAATAAAATTCTAAGTTGTTGTTATCGCCCACCTTCAGGTGAAATTAAAAATTTTAATTCGTTTTTATGTAATGACGTTATTTAAAAAAGTAACCACGAAAATAAATTTATCTACTTAGTGGGTGATCTGAATTTAGATTGTTTTCAATACCACGTCAATAATAACATTAAAAGGTTTTATAACGGCATTTTTGAAAATGGTGCGATTCCCTTGATTAGCAAACCGACAAGAACTACTCAATCAAGTGCCTCTTTAATTGATAATATTTTAACCACTGATGTTTTTAACGAATCCTTAAAAAAGGGCATAATTAAAAATGACATATCTGATCATTTTCCTATTTTCTTTTCTATAAATATAGATAATAAATTAGTTCCTAATGAAAAAAGCGATTTTTTACAAATGAAAACCTTAAATCTTTTAAGGAACAATTATCTCTAATTGATTGGAGCATTATTAACACCCCTGATGATATAAACTTAGTTTATAACTCCTTTTTTAAATCTTTCTATGATATTTATGAAACTAATTTCCCTGAAGTTAATTTAAATCTCAAAGCTAAAAGTATTAAATCGCCTTGGATTACAAAGGGTTTGCGGAAGTCTTCAAAAATTAAACAAAAATTATACATTAATTACTTAAAATCTAAAACAAATGAAAATAAAATTATATATAAAAATTACGCTAAACTTTTTGAAAGCCTCAAGTAAAAACAAAAAAAAAATTATTATTTAAATTTACTAAATATATATAAATTAAATTTTAAACGCACTTGGTTTATAATAAGAGAAATTACTGGCAGAAAAAAATGTACATCTCACTCTTTGCCAAACACGGTTAAACATAATAATGAATTTTTATATGATAAAAGACAAATTACGGAAGAATTTAATAAATATTTTGTGTCTGTAGGACCAAATCTGGCAAAAAGAATTCCTATAGCTAACGGTTTAATGAATGATCTACGTTTCCCTCTAAACTCTTACTTGAACTCTTTTGAATTATCTTTTGAAGAGTTTGAAAATGCCTTTAAAATGTTAAAATCTAACAAAGCAGTAGGCCCTGATGGTATTAATGGCAACATTATTATAAGTTCATTTGATGTTTTAAAAGATATACTCTTTAAAATTTTTTCAATATCAATTAAACAGGGAATTTTTCCACATGCTCTAAAATTAGCAAAAGTCATACCAATATTAAAAAGTGGTGACATTGAGAATATAAGTAACTATCGTCCAATTTCACTCCTTTCTGTATTCTCTAAAGTTTTAGAAAGAATTTTGTACAATAAAATTTATAGTCATCTTACTTTAAACAATTTATTATACAGCAATCAATATGGATTCCAAAAAAACAATTCTACTGAACATGCCATTCTACAATTTACAAGAAATATATCTGACTCATTTGAAAATTCTCAATTTACTTTAGGTGTTTTCATTGACTTGGCGAAAGCTTTTGATACTATAGATCACGAAATTCTTTTTAAAAAGTTGGAGTGGTACGGAATTAATGGAAAAATATTAATTTGGCTAAAAAGTTACCTAAATAATCGAAAACAATTTGTTTATGCGAATGATAACGTATCATCTAGTTTGTTAAATATTTCATGTGGAGTTCCTCAAGGATCCATATTAGGACCTCTCCTATTTTTAATATATATTAATGATCTACCAAAAGCTTCTAACCTAATGACAATTATGTTTGCTGATGATTCTAACCTATTTCTTTCTCATAATAACATTTTTACACTTTTTAGCAATATGAACATTGAACTAGTCAAAATTTCCGAATGGTTTAGATTAAACAAACTATCACTAAATATTGATAAAACTAAATGGATTCTTTTTCATCCTTATGGTAAAAAGCACCAGCTGCCTAGCAACTTACCTTTTCTATTTATCGATAACATAGTTATTAATAGAGTTTTAGTGACAAGATTTTTAGGTGTATATATCGATGAAAATCTTACATGGAAATGCCACATTGCTAACTTGTGCAGTAAAATTTCAAAGAGTATAGGCATTTTATACAAAATAAGAAACGTTCTTGATAAAAATACCTTAATTCAATTATATTATTCGTTAATTCATTGCCATATCAACTATGCAAACATTGCTTGGGGTAGCACTTATAAAAGTAAACTTAAACCTCTCTATCGGCAACAGAAGCATGTAGCACGCCTTATAAATTTTAAGGACCGTTTTGCTCACGCTAAGCCTCTTTTATATGATATGAAAGCACTCAATATATATGAGTTAAATGTTTTTAATATTCTTTGTTTTATGTATAAATGCAAGACCAACCTATCACCCGTTTCTTTTCGTAACTTGTATTTACAAAGAGATAGAAATAAATATATTCTAAGGAACGATAACTTAATTCGACAACCATTTTCTCAAACTAATTTTGGAAAATTTTTTATTTCATTTCGCGGACCATTTTTCAAACAAAATAAAACATTGATAAAAATTAGCTGAATAAATCAAATTTTACCTGAAATTTATGTACTTTATATACATTTTGATATAAAATTTAAAGGTTTTAACTTATTTTCATTAAAAATAGGTTATAAAATATAACTTTAATAAAATATTTTTGCATTATATAAGGTTTTCCTTGCCTTTCCATTACGGGCAAATTATTTTTGTAATGGCTAGTTATTGAGACAATAATTTTCAATGTGCCACTTCCTCAACGTTGTTAAAGCAATGTTTTATTAACGTTGCCAAAGTAACACTTTTTCAACGATTTTTAATTACCACATTTTCAACGTTGGTATATATAACGTTGAATAAGTGTTGTTTTAAAAATAGCTTAAATACGTTAAAAAAGCAGCTAATGTCTAACGTTGATAAACCATAAATTTGCGACGGTTTTACAGTGATTATTTGCGTACTTTTATTCAACGTTGAATAAACGCGATTTTTTGAGAAGATAAGATACGTTTAAATTTATACGCTCAATCAACGTTAAAAATGTAACGTTTAAAATGCGGTTTGTTTTTAACGTTGATATTATAAAGCATATGCTTTAAAACGTTTTTAAAGTGGCTTTTTGCGTAAGTTGATTCCACGTTGAATAAACGTTTTATTTTGAGAAGCTAATTTACGTTACAATTTCGACGCTTATTCAACGTATTAATTTTCCGCAATTTAGTTTATAAAAACAGACATTGATTCAACGTTGAAAGCACGTTGTTTTTGTGACTGTAACGCCTTTTCTATGCTGCGACTGGTTTTCAACGTTGATTCAACGCTGATATGTTTGCTGGGTTTATATATGTATATATATATATTAAAAATAGTAGGAGACCAACAATATGGATCCCTGTGGGACACCACATGTTACATTCATTAATAAAGGCAAAGAAGAGTCTTGGATATTAAGAAACTGCTTGCGATTACTAAGATAGCTTTTGAACCTGCTTAGGGGTTTATCTTTAATTCCATACAGTTCTAATTTTTTTAAATAGAATGTGGGGATCGACAGTTTCAAAAGCTTTAGACAAATCGATGAAAACTCCTAGGGTATAATGAGTATTTTTTAAAAAATCAGAAATGCTACATGCTAGTTGCAGAATGGCGTGTTCAGTAGAATAGTTTCTCTCGAAGCCAAATTGATTATTATATAAAAGTTTAGTATCAACAAAATGATTGTTATACATTATTCTTTCTAGTATTTTAGAGAAAGTTAAAAGAACTGAAATAAAACGATAATTTATAATGTTATAATGGTCACCTGGTTTATAAATAGGAGTCATTTTTGTTACTTTTAGAGAGTCTAGAAAGGATTCTTGAGCAATAGAGGCTTTTCAAATTTTAAAGAGTTTATTTTTCAAAACGTCAAAGGAGTCTATTATAACATTTCCATTGATGCACTCAGACCCAAATGCCTTATTCCATTTTAATGATTTAAACGCTGCACTGTGGGCCAGGTGGTGGACAAAACCTCAAAAATAAAAATTGGTTATTTCAAAAACCATATAATAAAACATAGTCATAATACTCTATTGTCTTATTAAAAAATTTATTTGAGTTTAATAATATCTTTCTAAACCACAAGAATCAATTGCGGTTTCATGTATAATAAATTGTTTTATTTTTACAAAAAAGCGTAAATTTTTTTTATTTTTATGCTTAACTTTAGCAAACAGTAACTTTAAAGAAAATACATTTACGTACAATTAGTTTTTGTATTTTAACTATTCAATAATACAACTTTACGAAAATAATATAAAGGAAAGATCAACATTTATAACACATTTATAAACTGGCTTTATAATTAGGAGGTAAGTTTATAACATTTAATACTTTTATTTTGTACAAAAAGTGTCAGATAAGTTAGGGAACCTACGAGAACCTATATCATGTACTTGAGCTAGTAAATGCAACATGTCTATGACCTATTAGAATTATATGCATCGCCCCTAATTTCCTTTTTTGAGTTTATTTGACATTTTAAAAGTACATGTTTCAAGTTGTATCATTCGCTTGAAATCGAAATATTTAAAACATCATGTTTTTTATTCACCCAAACAAAAATAATTGTTTTTTTTCACCAATACAATTTAATGCACATTGTACTGTTGAAACAATAATTTTTTTGTTTTTTATTTTAGTTATAACATGAAAATTGGTGAGATTCACACATTTATGAGACAAAACAAACTAATTGATAATCTGATAATATGAATACGCTAATTTTATATTAGTCGAGCCACGTCATTTTCTAGGCTTTTCCATTTTAAAGTAGTTTCTAGGCTTTTCTATACGCGGTTTTTGTTTTTTTTTATTTACTAACAACGCGTATTACGGGTTGCTTACTGCTAGTATATAATAATAATCATAATAATAAATCATTTTTTTGAAAATCAAAATGGCAGGCTAGAACAATAGCTGATAATTGAGCGGTACAACAAGTAAAGTGCCAAATTCAGGCCGATTTTATGAACCAATTGGAATTGGTTGTGGATTTTCTCAAAAGTGGAGGATCGGGTAAGTCAATTTTTATATTATACAAAATACATATTATTTATACATATAATTTTTCAAAATATAAGTCATAATTTTCTAAATTTTTAGGTACTAGTAATAATGAAAATACTGCCCGAAGAGCTTTTGCTAACTATAAATCCACTGCTGAGATATTGAAAGTTGATGAAACTCATATATCATTTTTATATTATTTTAGTCACTTTGCCATTGGGATATGAAATAGATACTATGAAGTTTAAGGCTTTTTGCATAACCATTCTAAAGCTATATATATCAAATTATTCATGGTACTATATGTCATAATCTGTCCACAAAGTTTTTGGTTCATAGTCATGCCATAACTGCAAGACAATTTCTACCAATTGGAATAATTTCAGAAGATCCCCTAGAGGCGCGAAATAAAGACTTCAGGAATTTTTGGGAACATTTTAGGAGAAAGACCTCAAGAAAAGATACAAACCAAGATTTGATTAATAGACTTCTTGTATCTAGTTAACCGTTTATAACATCTCTTAGAAAACTAAATTAAGTAACAATCAAAGTTTGCACAAATTTCCTAGTGAAGTTCTAGAACTGGTGGGAGAATCAGCTATGTAACTTGATGATTTTTAATATATAAATTAGTTTAAGCTTTGTTTTCTTTTTTCTTCACATTTTTTAAATCAGTATCATTTTTCGTATAAAAAAACTTACAAAGATGGCATTCGGAACGTGGGAGCAATAGATTTTAAAAATAAAATAACATAAGACTTTAGACTACATCATAATTAATCTATAGACTTAACATATCATTATAAAATGTCTTTAAATTTAAAACGTCATGAGCGTTTTAATTATTTTCTGTTTATGCAATGTTTATGTCTAAAATTTATGATAAAAGTAAAAGTTTCTTAACTTAACTTGTTTGAAAAATAAAAGATCTTTAATAAAAAAAGTTCATACAAATAATTTTGCCCACCATAAGTTTAATATCCGGCCCACTGTGCGCTGCTTCGAATATCCTGTATGTTAGGTATGAAAAATTTTAAGTTAAATTAAATGAAGTTCTAAATTCATCAATTAATTTGTCATTAAGTTAAGGAATTTTATTTGATAAGCTTGTTGCGATTGAAGAAAAAATTTATTAAATTCAAAAGCAATTTTAGAGAGTCATTAAGTAATTTTTTTTAATTTTTATTGCATTTGGTATTGATATGGTAGTTTTCTTATTTTTTCCCGTGATCTCTTTCATTAGTTGTGAGATATGCTTTTAATTATGTTTATGCTTTGCAAACAAGACGGAGTAGTAATTTCGTTTTGCGTTTTTGCAGAGTTTTTCGATATTATTTTTATAAATTAAGTAGTTATTTTTATTGACAGATTTATATTTTAAATATTTAATATACAGTTTTTATTTCACTTTCTATGATTTTTTAAGTTCTTTAGTTATCCAAGGACATGATACATCCTTGGCGGTAAGGATTATTTCACAAATAGGGAAGTTTGCGTCATAGATGGATTTAAATGTTTAAAAAAAAGAATCGTAAATCAGGTTTATATCATCATTGAAGTTAATATTGCTCCAGTTTTGATTCGAAATTTGTTCCTTAAAAGATTTCAAATTATTGTTAATGTATACACGCTTTTTTATAGTTGTTTTACTCAGGAGATTTAATTTGTAATTTGCATTTATACAAAAAATAAAAAAAAAAAAAGAAAGTGATCTGAGACATCTGTTTTGATCGAATAATTTTGTTTACGTTTTTTTCAAAACTTTTTTTTTTTTTTGTTTTTTAATCTTTTTTTTAAAAGTGCAATATGATTAGATATTTTTAAACTATGCGGTAATGAAACGGTAATTTATAAGTAAATTTGTTACTAAAAAAAAACTCCGTGAAAATTGACGTAATTTTCTTTGTCTTCCTTCAGCTCATTTACCATATCTTTTTGGTAAAACTGGACGTGCAACCATATCTTAAATGCATTATATACTTATTTTCTATATTTAAAAAAAAGTTTCGTTCTCTTATCCACTCTTGAACAATTGTTATGCTAATCAGCTGCACTAAATCGAAGGTTAACATATTTTGTCTTAATTATGTTACACGGTTCTTAAAGATTATGTTTGTTTTTGTTTTGTAGAATAGGTTTTTTACGTGTTTTTGGCAATATTACATTAAAATAATATTTTTTTGAGAATTTCAATTTCTTAACATTATTATTGAGTTTTTATAAAATAATTTTAGTAAAAAAAAAAAAAACTTATTTTGTTTCGGTTTCTGTATAAAGTTTATTGATTAAAAATTTTTTAAAATCAGCAAATTCATTTTTGCTTTAATCGTTTAAAGGAAGTATCAGACACAAAAGTGCAACGCTTATAAAATACAATATTTAGTTAAAAAAAAAAACTTGCTTGAAATGAAAAGTAGTGTAGAATTTGTCTTAACATAAAAAAAAAAATTTTGTTTGTTTTTATTAGTATAATACAATAAACGTCTAGATGTTTATATATTTTTCTGGTATTTATTGAATGCAATTATAAATATTCTTGTCTTATTTTCAATTCTTTTAAAACTTACGAACTTATTAAACTTTTGGTTACAGTAATAAAATTGTTTTATTTCGTTAAATGGATGATGAAGTTGACTATAGAGCTCTCATAGAAAAACATCGAGTTGAGACAATTAAATGCTTGGATCTTGATCGCCAGTTTCTATTCAGCTATTTGCGAAGCTACGCGGTTTTGGACGACGAAGATTGTGAAATAATATTAAAAGCTGGTCCAAGTCGTCAACAAAAATCTTCTAAATTTCTTGATGTCTTAGCTACTCGTGGTCCTAAAGCTTTTCAATATTTTCTTCAAGCTCTAGAAATTGAACATGGTCATCTCTATGAAATATTCACTGGAGAAAAAGCAACAAGACCATGTATGCTTTTTTTTATCATTATTACATTTATGTATATTTCAACTCTATATATTTATATATATATATATATATATATATACATATATATATATACATATATATATATATATATATATATATATATATATATATATATATATATATATATATATATATATATATATATATATATATATATATATATATATATATATATATATATATATATATATATATATATATATATATATATATATATATATATATATATATATATATATATATATATAAGAAAGTAATTTATACTATCACCAAATACTAAAACATATGAAATGTGTCATTTTAATTTCTGGTACTTGACAAATGTTTCAAAAATAAAGATACGATGATAAAAATTTAAAAATTAAAACCTGTTCTTAGGTAGAAGAGATACCCTCTGGTATAGAGTCACTAATGCAGTTATAAATACATTCAAAACGGAAAATTGTTTTAACAGCCCTTGACAAATATGTTAAGATGTTAACAAGTTAAGAAAAATATTTTTCCAGATTGATTTTTTTAGCTACGTTTATGCAACAATATTAAATTGTTTTTAGAAATAGATATTTATTAGTTTATCGTTTATGACATTTTTATGAAATGAAAAAAACAAGTACCGTCAAATGAGCTGAAAATGAACTTCAAGTAAAAAATGAACGTCGCAGACAAGTTTACTAAATGACGGTTTGTTGAAATAATGTGACAAATGTCGCAAGTTGTATCATCTATGGCCAACAACACCGGAGAAGGAGTGGGGGGGGGGGGGGGGAGGGCAAGGGGTAACGTTCTCTTTTACTTTTTTCTAAAGGTTTTTTTTTTTTTTGTTAGAAATTTCAAGATTCAAATATACAAAGATATACTTTTTTTTTTAGAAGTTAACGATTGCGCCCTCTCCTTTCACTTTGAAACCCGTGTTATTGGCCCTTTCAGATCCAGCGTTGTGGTCTTATGATAAAAACAATTACTTCAAGTTCGATATTAAGAACATCAATTTTATATTCAGCCTATTTTAAGGCTCAAAGGAGTCTTGTTTTTATAAATATAAAAACAAACGAACTTTTTTTTAAATATATAAAAATTGTAATGTTATAAATATTTTGTAAACCCACCCTTTGCTGCTATAACAGCTTCTACTCTCCGTGGCATGCTGTCAATGCATTTCTGTGCCGATTCTTTTATGTGAGGGTTTCGATGCCAACCATTTTGTTTTTTAATAAGCTGGGTTTTATTTGTCACCAGTTCCAAGAAACCTCCCGTTTTAATAGCTCGACAATGGATGTTTCACTGTCTCGATAATGCAGTCTGGATTAAATTTTTCACCCACCCTTCGTCGCACAAATGAGGCTTTTTCGTCCAAGATCTGAAACGTGGATTCATCAGAAAAGCACACCTGAAAACAAATGTTTCAAAAAATATTAGTCTTTCATTAATCTAAAGAAAATCGAGAAATAAAGCAGAATATGACATTTATAAGAAATAAATACCTTTCTCCAATCATCTATTATCATATTGCGGTGTTTTATAGCCCATTTCAATCTTTTATCCTACATGGCAGGCCTTAATTTTGGTTTTTTCGCAGGACGGTAACACTTAAAGCTTACTTATCTAAGCGTCTCCTGAATGTGCGATCACTAATATTAATTCCATCAATGTTGTAATTATTTTTCTGGGTTTCTTTCTATTCGCCAAGCAAATATTCCTGATAATTCTCTCAGACCTTGGCGTTGTAAGGCGTTTTACTTTACAGTTTTTACGGAGTGCGGATATAGGGTTTTCGCCATTTTTTATTTTTGATGCTATTTTTTGCACGGTCTGCCTAGAAACGCCCTTAGAAACGCCAATTCTTCTTGAAATTTTTCGTTGAGAATAGCTGGTGCTCCTTAAAAGTGACATTATTTCACTTTTTTTTACAAACATTCACATCTTTTTTTTTTACCCATAGTCAGAAACTTTAAAAAATCTAAAAGACAAATAAACACACTACAAAAATATGTAAAAGAAAATTAAAAAAGTTGAAATAATTTATATTTTTGGAAAAACAACTTTCAAAGAAGTCTTTCACTTAATAAATAAAAATTTTGAAAAATAGTCGGTTAAAAATAACGTTTGAAGAAAGATCCTTAACACACAACAAGCTTCGGCACTCTACAAATGGTGACTGAACACAATTTCACGGTTTTACTTGTCAAAACATGCAAAATACAGTGTTGCCTACACAATAATAGTGTTGCCTACACAATAATTTGTAATAATGTCGTAAATAATTTTGAAAAATTGTGAATTTTACGTTTAAAAGGTGAATTAATGCTGACAATATAACAAAAAACGTGATGGCCATAATTCAATGGCCACCCAGTATATATATATATATATATATATATATATATATATATATATATATATATATATATATATATATATATATATATATATATATATTATATATATATATATATATATATATATATATATATGTATGTATATATATATATATATATATATATATATATATATATATATATATATATATATATATATATATATATATATATGATATATATATATATATATATATATATATATATATATATATATATATATATATATATATATATATATATATATATGTATATATATATATATATACATATATATATGTATACATATATACATACATACATACATACATACATACATACATACATACATACATACATACATACATACATACATACATACATACATACATACATACATACATACATACATACATACATACATATTATTACTTAACGCTTCCGAAATCAATTATTTCGATAATTTCAATTTTAAAATAACTACACTCTGTTTTTAAAGAATTTAAAATAATGGAAAACAGTGCTACATTTAATCCTGACACTAATATTTTTCTCAGTCTACAATCATCGCAATCCTGACACTAATTTTTTCCCCAGTCACCAATCATCGCAATCTTGACACTCTTATTTAAATACCATATTACCATATTCCAATTAAAGTTTTATAAATTTTTGCATTAATTTTTTCTTTGTTTAGTAAATACATCAGTTTTGTTATTCAACGAGATATTCTCTAATAGTGTACATCCTTGTTATTATAATTTATTTCATGAATGATATTTATTCATAATTAGAACCAATTTATACATGAATGTTACATTCATGTATAAATTGATAAAAAATTTCATCATGTTTTGACAACAATGTTTTACAGTGTTTTCTTCCGAAATAAGAAATAAGAAATAAGAAAAGATTCTTATTTCTTGTTTCGTTGTAAGTCCAAATTAAAATAACAAAATCTTTTTTAGATTGTTAAAATGTATTGACGTTAAAATGTATGACGAAGAGATTCTTAAAAAAAAAAAACTGTGATCGGAGAATGAGATGTATTTCTTTTCACAACTATTCTAGAGACATCAAATTCTCAGATTGTAATATTTCTGTGTGTAATTGGGCTTTACACTTTTTTTTTTGCTGTGGTTGCTCAGCATTTTTATGCTGAGATATTTTAGTTCTCGGCATGAAGAGCCTACGGTTTGTGTAAAATTTAGCAGCTATATAGATTTTTTTGTAGCTTTTTCTTTATCTTCTTTTTTGATGAATCACATTTTCTTCGATAATTTTCATTTTCCGCCAAGTTTTTTTAAGTTGCATAGCTTTGATTTCTAAACATGCAACTGATTACTGGCTTGAATAAATTGCTTCAATTCCAACTCGATACTGTTTTTGCAACGCTCAAAACATGTTTGATACTTATCAAAACTCGAAGCTGGCGAAGTTTTTGAAGATGGTAATCAGTGTGTAGTTGGATTAAGCTCTGCGGCGTCTGTTGAAGATGATGACGTTGTGACTGAGCAAGATGGTTTAGGTGCTGCGGAGGCAGTTTTTGTTTATCTTAATTCTTACATTTTGAGGCTTTTTAATAATTGATAAGAATTTCTTTCCACGCTTGTATGAAGCGATAATAGACAATTGTTGTACAATATGTGATGAATGCTCTTACAACATATCGTGGTAATATTATTTTAGCATTGTATATAGTGTTGTTACAACTTTGAAATAACTCGACTGTTGAATAAACTGATTAAGGTGTTTTTCAAAGTTGACTAATATCGATTAATATTTTGTGGAAATCGATTAAGTCGGCTAAAAGTCAATTTATTCGAAATATTTGAATTTTTTTAAATTATGATATTTAAATGTTGCTCGGCAATTTATTTCTTAGATGATGATGAATCAATAGAACTTTAAGAGACTAAACAAAAAGTTAGGTGGGATTGTTCTATTAGATTAGTTTAAATCGAGAATAAGCAAACAAAACAGAAACTACAATAGAAAAAAATAAGATGACCATTTTATATGTCTTGGTTTAACAAGACACATTGTTCAACCAAATCTGGTTTAAAACTATTTCGCCGTTCTGTAATAGTTTCGGCAGCACTTGAAAATAACTCTTCAGAAGGCGTTGATAAAACAGTTATACAAAAGAGCATCATTGCTATCTTTGACAAAGTGGGAAATTGGCGTAAATTATTTTTATAAAATGCAAGGGGACATGAATTTTCCGATACTTTTATGTTCATATTTAAATAATTGATGATTTGGTTGTTTACTGATAACAAAACTTCTGATGACACAGTTTCATCGCATAACAAAATTTTTTTTTTTTTTTTTGATGAACTTCTCTGACTAGATGATAACTCTTGGCAAGACAACTGAAAGCTTGTTGGTGTTAGTTGTAATTCATGATTCGATTGAACAACTAAAGAATGAGCTTTTTTAATACAAGAAACTTTCGCTGTTTTGTTCGATATAAATTTAAAATTTCGAAATCGCGGATCTAAATATGTAGCTGCGTTTCAATTTTGAGGAAATCCTCACATCATCGATTAAAATTATCTTTGAATTTGATGGCAAGATTCAAAAGTGTAAATATATACATATATATATACTACACTCGTACATCTCATATATATATATATATATATATATATATATATATATATATATATATATATATATATATATATATATATATATATATATATATATATATATATATATATATATATTATATATATATATATATATACATATATAATATATATATATATATATATATATATATATATATATATATATATATATATATATATATATATATATATATATATATATGTATATATATATACATATATATATATGCAAGTGTACGAATATTTGATTCACTTTTCAAGCAAAGAAATCCGTTAGTTTATAAACGTCTGGTAAAAAATATGAACAAGTGGAATATTTTGATCCGCTCAAAGTATTTGTAAAATCATGTATTGGCTCTAATAAATCAATTATCTAGCCAATGATTTCCAGTTCCCAGCTTTTTAATAACAAATCCTCACTATCTTTGTACTCTGTTTCGATAATAACGTCTTTGATTGATTCGCTAAGTTTAAAAAATGACTGCAACATTAAAAAGGTTGAATTCCAATTTTGGGCTATACTTTAATGCAATCCAAATCAATTTCAAACAAAAACTTTGATCAACAAAATGTACTGAAGCGCCGATGAAAGAATGCTAGGCTTGTGATGCCTATCCTTCAGCTGTTAGATGACAAAATTCAGCTTGATTTAAAGGATGCATTACTTTTACTTTAAATGATTCAAATTTAAGCGGCACTACTTCATAAGAAAACTTCGGCAATTTGTATCAAACGAAGCTAGCATTTTAATAAAAACTTATTATCAACAATCGACAGCTATTGACCTGTTTGGAGAACAAAGTTTCCTCTAAATCTCTACATTTCACAGAAATGTAGAGATTTAGAGGAATCTAAATCTCACAGAAATGTAGAGATTTAGATTCCTCTAAATCTCTACATTTCTGTGAACTTGAACAATATGAGTGAGAGTTTGCAAATGCAGCTTTGATAGATACATGACCAGTTGTTGTAATTGGAAGTTTAGACTCTTTAATATTAATCCGATGGTTACTATACAAATGATTTGCCATTGAGCTTGTATTTTTATTGTATTTTAAGTCTTTGTTGCAAATTTCGTTTGTTAAAGTATCTTTATATTTACACGTTGTTATTGTAGAGTCATTGTTTTTCACAAAAAAATTCCAGATTTTACTTTTATGAATGTTTCGATTCGACATTTTATTACTACCATAAATAGAGAATAACAATAAAATAGCTATTACAATTAAGTCAAAGAAGTCATGGCATTTAAGTGTGTTCAGATAATAGTTCCTTCATTTAGAAATAAAAAATTTGAATGAGTACCTATCATTATTATTATTAGAATTATTCTAATCGTTATGAATTTCTAAAGGGAGTTAAACCAATCGTTTAAAATGTCCATTGGAAATTATTAATATATGTATCAATCGATAAAAAGAATTTAATTGAATTTATTGACTTATTGAATTTAAAATTAACCTAAAACAGAGAGAATTTTAAAAAAAGATTATCTCTGTATCATTTATCAAAACAATTAAAGCAAAAAATCTGTAATTTTTGCGTAATTTTTTTGGCGTATAAAGGTGGAGGCTGGTAGGGCTAAACTTTTTTGTGGATTTCAGATTTATAAAACTTTGTATCTTTTTAGCATCGTTAACTGATGACACATTATTATATATATTTTTTAAAAATTACGTTTTTATTACAAGTCAGTATAACGAGAAAATATAAACATTAATGTAGTGGCTCAGCATACAGTAAACTTAGAGCTGAGTTAATGCGAAACAACAAATTAGGTTCAATGTTCAGATATTTTGATTGAACTAAAAACCCAGCATTGAATAATGATCTTGCGCTCAAATTATCTTTACAAATATTTTATCTTTATAAAAGAATCTACTTATAAGGATATATCTTTACTAATTGGTCAGCATCATAATAAAATTAAATATTGACAAAGTTAAATCAAACGAAGAAATAAAGTTAAGTATTTTAGGACCCAACTAAATCGACTTTTAGTCGATTAGTAGAAAATCTAAAGTAAATTATATCGACTATTAGATTTTTCATAGTTGACTAATTTCAACTTTCGACTAATCGACTTTTACTCAATTTAGTCGAAGTCGATAACATTCAGTAGCACAACTAGAGAAGTTTCCATGGTACCCGGAAACTCCTTTTTAAATTGCTATTAATTGTTAAATTGAGTGGTTTAGCTCTGTTATCCATCCATTGCAACATCTTCATCAATGAAGATCAAATAATATAAAAGTTTGTCATTACATCGTCGTCGACTGGAGAGTGTGTGTGTTGAATGACATTTTCTTGTTACTGCTTTATACACTAATCGTTATTAAGTGTGTTGTGTTAAGTTTGACACGAAGAAAAAGTGTTGGAATTTGAAATGAATATGAAAATGATTTTATGCCTAAAAATTAAGTATGTAATATATAAATATGGACGCTTTGGGTTTCACAAAGTAAAATCCAATGATTCATAAAATTGGAAACCCCTTTTCAGAAATCCTAATATAACCTTTACTGGATTATACACCAACTTTTACAGCTTTACTTCGTTTTTATATAAAATAAGTCTTATAAAATGTTTAACTGATAGAACTTTCAAAATTAACAACACTACCCTTGGTCTCCGCAATGACATTAATAATCTTTTCAAAGTTCTCAAACGTAATATGTACCCATCCTAACTAATAGAAAAAATCTACAACTCTTACTTAAATAAAGATAATTATGTTGTTCTATTACCGTCTGAAGACCTTACAAATTCTCGCTATTTCAAACTTCTTTATATTGGTCGAATTATATTGGCCGAGTTAACGAAACGAAGATTACACGCAATTTTAAAGAGACATTGTAAGTGGGTTACCGTAAAATTAGTATTCACTTCGTTAAAAGTGTCTAACTTTTTTTATCTAACGATCACCTTCCTGTAGATTTTAAATCATTCGTCGTCTACAAATTTGTTTGTGCAGGATGTAAATCCTGTTATATTGGCGAAACCTATCGCCACCTAAAGACGCGAGTGATTGAATACTACAGAAGGGATAAAAACTCTCTTATTTATAAACATCTTCACTCAAAAGAAAAATGTTTTAAAAAATTAAAATGATGAATGCTATTTGATTTTGGATCGTGCTAAAAACAAAATTGAATTAAAAATTAAAGAAAGCATTCATATAGGATGGGAAAACCCCGATATGAATAAACAAGTAAACCATGTTAAAATGACTTTTATAATTTAATATAATTTACCGGTTTCTTTTGTTATATTTGACATTTGCGAAAATAATTTTAATAAATCTTTTTGTATATATAGGAAGTTTGTTTACAATTTTATGGCTTTTATTATGTTTATTTTTACAATTATATATTATATTCTATACCGTTTTTAACAAATATATTTGAACATGTATTGAATAATAAAATGTTTTGAATAATAAAATGTTTTTAAATAAAATTAAAAATTTGTTAAAAGTATTTTTAAAAGTAATATATATATATATATATATATATATATATATATATATATATATATATATATATATATATATATATATATATATATATATATATATATATATAATTTATTACAAAATAAGCCCCACCTATCGCACTATTTTTTCAAAACAAAAATTTCTTCTAGCCAATCATCAATCGTCTTTTAATTCGTCTTTTTTTTTTACATAACATAACATTAATTTTGTTAAACTCGTAAAACCCTATACTTTTATTAAAAAAAAAAAGAAATAAAGTTTTAGGCTATAGAGAGAACAAGAGATAGTCAAACTACGTTCGCACTCGCAGTCTTAAACCGCACTCTTCCCCCAATACGCATTGGTACTATTTTTGAGTTACCTCCTTCCCCCCAAAACTACTTATGTACTTTATGGAAGACCCCATAATGTAAAAATTCATTTTATTTATTAAATAAGCCACATTTTGAACATTCATATTATCTTTCATCTAACCTTATTATTTGTTCCAACAAGCTCCAATGGCGGGGTTTGTTAGAACGCTAATTGCTGCTCTCTAATCAAAGATATATTAAATATTTTATAACTAAATTTAATCGTTAATAACGAATATTGCGTGTTTTAGTAAGTAGTATTTGAGCAATAAAAATACCATTACAAATTTTTAGTAAAACTGATACCTAAATCTTTTTCGAGAGTTTTTTTCTGCAATAAATGGGTATTCATAAAGTTATCGTGTATTTTATGGTTATTCCCACCAATGTGTATTATAGAATGCCTATCAGTGTTACTGAAGTTCATCACCGTGATAAACTTTAAATCCTGTTTTTTAACCATTTTGTTGCAATATTTAAATCCTTAATCTCCCAACTTTTGATCGTTCACTCTTTTTTCTATATGACCATTAACAACTTATCGTTTTTGTTAGTTTTTTCCGCTTTACTTTTAATAACCCATTTATTAAAAAAAATTTTAAATAATTTAATAGTGCATACATAGAACGAATATTTTGTTTTAGGCTCTGTATCTGATTATTCGGTGCCTTGGACAGGTAATTCATTTTTTAATTTATAATTTATAAAGGGCCAACGACACGGGTTTCGAAGTGTGGGGGCACAATCGTCAATTCTTAAAAAAAATCTTTTATATCTAGAATTTTCTTTAAAAAAAAAAAAAAAAGATCATGTAGAAACAAAGTGGGGGAGGGGGACTCGTGCTCCTCTGGCTTCCCCGGTGTCGTCGGCCCTTCCCCGGTGTCGTCGGCCCTGTTATACTGATTATTTTAATTTTGCTCCAATTAAAAGATAAAAAATACAAATTATAGTTTTTTACGTTTTCAAAGTAATCTGTTAGCACTTTTTCGTACTTGCATTTGTTATTAGACTGGCTATTATTCTTTTTTTTATCACAAATTATAATTAGAAAAAAGATGTCATTTTTTTATTTTTCCTAGAATTCTCTCTCTATTTCATTTGTCCATATTTCATTTTTCTCTATTTCATTTGATCTTAGCTTTTGATTTTTAAAGTTTAACTAATTCAAGTAAAATTTCTTTAAAAAAAGAAGAAGTAAAAGTTTTATCTTGTTTTTCTAAAATGTCTCATAAATTTAGAAATTTTTTCCGTTAAAATAAGAAAAAAATAAACTTAATATATATATTTTTTTAGTTTTATCTGAAAAAGCCCTTCTAGATCATGATAGAGACTTCCTTCTTAAAGAAATAACAAAACTTGAAGAGCAGAACCGAAGTCGTGCGTATATGTATTCTAAAACTATGAGAGAAAAAGTAACTTTGGAAAACCAATTAGAAGATCTTAAAAAAGAGCTTAAAGAAAAGGAAAAAAAAATTGAAGTAATGGAAAAAGAAGCGAAAACTTCAAGTAAATTAGTGGAAGAACCATCGCATTTTCAAGCTTTCCATTTTACAGAATTGATAAAAGATAATTCAGAAAAAGCAAATGCAATTATCGTGTTACAATCACGTCTACTTTTAATTACAGAAAGAAATGAGCGTCTTTCCAACCAAAATGAGCAATTATTAAAAAAAAATGAGGAGTTAATGTGTCAAATACGTGATCTTGCAATAAAATACGATTTCAAAAGAATGGAATCAAAACGTTTATCATATCAAATAAATCAAAATAACGGTGGCTTAAAAGAAGCTTCTAACTGTAAGAAAGAAATATATTCATTAAAATTTAAACTCATTCAAGCCAATGAAAACACTGGTGTTGCTGAAAAAAAGGTAGATGAATTGCAGAGAATAATATCGGAACTAAAAATGCAGCAAAATATTGTCCAATCAGAAAGATGTAATGAAGTGGTAACAAAAGGTCAAGTAGGTGAAACCAGTTTTTTTTAAACCCTTTTTTCAGGATTTCAAAGAAACTTTGTCTCTGTTTAAAAAAGTACCGACCCCGACTCTGACTCCAATCTTTAAAATTTTCAGACTACGACTCTAACTCCGACTCTAAAGCAAAATATTTGAAAAATTCTTTAAAAAATATTACGCGATAAGTTTAAATTTTTTTTTTGCCAAATTTATGAAATTTTTTTTGAGGTTTAGTATGAATATAAGGTTAATTGAATACTTTGTACATGCACGTGCAATACCGAGAAGTTTTAATATTGGAGTCAGAGTCGTGATTTTGTTTAGCGACTCCGACTCCGCTGAAAATGTCGCGACTACGCGACTTCGACTTCACAGCCCTGACAATGACTTTGCTAACAAAGAATAAATTAAAAAGAATGCCTTTAAAAAAAAGATTAAAAAGTTAAAAAAGTTAAGTTTTTTTCAAAAAAAAAGAAGGAAAGAAAAATAGTAAAATAAAGGCTGAAAAAGTAAAATAAAAGTCAGGAAAAGAAAACTCTGAAAAAATAGGAAAAAAACCTTTTGAAAAACCAGAGTATTTGAAAAATAATTAACTTTACATAATCCTGGTTTAGATTTTAAAATAGCCTAGACCTCTTTCAAACCTGTGGAAAAGTCTGATTAAGAACACACAGAAAGAAAACAGCATTAAAATTATAAGACCCCCTCTGAAGATTTATAATGCATATATTTTGATTACGTTTTATAACAACAGATCTGTTTAGGAATCGGTCAAATATTTTCGACTTGAAGAAGAAATTCGCACTTTGAAACAAACGAAAAAGGAGTTAAACAATAAAGTTGAAGCATTAAAACAAAAAATAGATCGACTCGAACAAGAAATAGAAACGCACAAAGAGGAGAAAACATTCTATTTAAATGAAAGACAACAAGCAATAAGCGATCGAGATCGAATGCAAGAAGATCTAAATGAACTACATAGACAGAACAAAGTGCTTCAAGATATAAAAGAAGAAACTGTACAAAAGCAGATTAAAATATCTTCTCATTACGAAAAAAAAAACAAAGACCTTATTTTTGAACTAGGTAACAACAACTTGTTTATTATGTACTTGTTTCTTTATTTTTTTTAATTTTTTGTTTTAATTTTTTGAAAAATTTTTTGGTTTTATGTTTGTTTTTGTTTTATTTTAATACTGTTCTTTTTCTAGTTTTATTTTCATAATTTATCATAATTTTATCATAATTTCTTTTATACTCATTAACAATGAATTATTATTTAAAAATCGCAGAAAATATCCATAACTAATACACTTCATTTTAGAAAAGATTAGAGAAGAGTTAGCTTCTAAAACATATGAATTAAATTCATTAAAATCCAACAATATACATAAAAAGAATATAGAAAAACATGACAATGAAGTTATGGAACTTGATTTAAGTAAAGAAGAACCAGTAAATGACCTTGACGAGCACATTGTGAATTTACAAGTATATGCAATACAAACTGCTTTTTTTTTAATGTTTGAAAAGTACCTTTTTTACAAAGTTGATTTTTTAAAATATGAAATAATTTTTTTTTATATATATATATATATATAAAAGGTAGCATATTTTTTTCTTTTTCGTGTAGAAAACATCAAAAGTTATTTTCCAAAATAAACGTCAATCTACTAATATATCAAACATAGAGCCTTTTGATCTCACTCAACCAAATAATTTTTGTAACCCAGAAGAGATATTCACAAGGTTGCAAAACCCTATATCTATTGCTGCACTAACGCTCACAGAAACTTGTTTAACTCATTCACCAAATAGCTATAACAAAAATCTAAACTGTTGCCCATTGTGTCAATTAGGTTCAGATCACTCAGGTAAACGAAAATTAACAAGAACCTAAACTGAAAAAAAAAAAGAAAATAAAAGCCAATTATTATGCTTGTATACTATAAATAATTTATGTAAAAATAAAAAAGAAATTTTTTTGTTATTTAAATAAATATTTGGCTCATTTTGTTTTCTAGTTTTTTAAAGTTGCTGAAATTTATTGAATTTTATTTACAAATGTAACTTAAAATTTGTTTTTTTTTAAGTACATTAATTTTAATGATAGCGTTGGTATATGATAATTTTGGTAAATGTAGTGACATCCTAATGCGGTGTACAATTGTTTATATAAAAGTACACTCTAAGAAAAAATCCGTTATATACAACGAATTGTATCTGTCGCTATTGCACTAACGGAAAATCCGTTAAGTTAACGAATTAAAATTTTAACAAATTGAACTCTTTTAGGAATAGTCCGTTGAATTTACGGATTTATTTCGTTAGTGCAACAAATAATCCGTTAAAATTAAGGAGTTATTACACTAGGCAGCAAATTTTCCGCGGTTGTTATTCCTATGAAATAAATGTGTTAAAAAGTTATTTTAGTGATTATTTCGTTAAAATCACTAAAGTCTAAATTAGAGAGGCTAGAATTGTGACTTCATAACCAAATAATCCTTATATTTGTTAATGTTTGCATTTTTATTTAATTGCATTATTTTATTTCGATATTCTACATTAAAACATTTTAACCAAAAATTAAAAACTAATCAAATATTTATAATATTTAATCCAACATACTTTAAATTACAATAAAGATAGTTAAAAAAATATTTTTAATACACTATACTCAAGCTAGTACATTTAAATAAAACACACACATATATAATAGATGTTTAAAACAAACCAATGGTTTTTGGTTTGGTTGGTTTAAATAGGTTTTGGTTTTGAATACTGTTGTTACTCGTACACAGGTTCGCACTTTAAATCGGACACCATGCTGTCAACTCCTTAAAGATTAATATAAAATAAAATAAGGAAAATATGGAAACTTAATAACATACCTAGTATAAAACCAAAATAAAATGTTACTAATAACACTATAGAAAATGTTTTTGGTAATTCATTATATATAAATTTCTATTCTAAATTTTGTTATTTTAATCACCTCTTATATCGTTTTCTAAAGATAAATTTAAATGGAACAAGTAAATTATATCTTTATTAAAATGTAAATTAAAAAAAAAGTTTACCTTGACATTATCTGATAACTGAAAGACTCTATACATTTCACATACATCAATACCTATCAGGAGCAAAAAATAAGGTCTCTAACCTTTTAAAAACTATGATAAATCAAAACAAGATTAAATATGCAGGCCAAAAAAAACGCAAGCAACTATATAAAAAAATTAATTTTACAACTTATTTAAACTTACAGTGTCATACCACTTGTCACATGTTTAAAATAGCTAATTCTAAAATAATAGTGAATATAGAATATAGTAGAATAATAGTTAAAAAAGTGTGATATAAACTTAGTCTTAACTAAACTAAATAAATATGCATGCCAAAAGAAATGTTAAAATACAATTTTTTTAAATTAAAAAAGTTAAAATACTATATTTTTAAATTTACTACTTCAAACTTACAGTGGGATATCACAAGCCACGTGTCTAAAAGAGCAAATTCTAAAATAATATAAACACGCCAGATATAAACTTGTTATTATTATTATTATTATTATTATTATTATTATTATTATTATTATTATTATTATTATTATTATTAATAATAGTTGAAACTCAACTAAATAAATATGCATGCCGATAGAAATGCAAGTTACATTATAAATTTTACAACCAATTTAAACTTACAGTATGACAGCTTATACCAAGTGTCTAAAATAGCAAATTCTGAAATAATATAAACAAGACATACACAAACTTAGTTGTAATCTAATTATATAAACATGAACGTCAAAAGAAATGCAAGTTAAAATATAATTTTTTTTTAATTTTCAAACTTACAGTGGGATACCACATGCCACGTGTCTAAAACAGTAAATTCTAAAATAAACAAACACATCAAATACAAACACATCAAGTATAAACTTAGATTAAACTCAACTAAATAAATATGCAAGTTACAATATAAATTCTACAACCAATTTAAACCTACAATGTGACACTAAATGCCGTGCCTCTAAAGCAGCAAATTCTAAGATAGTATAAATATATAAACTTAGTTGTAAACTCAATTAAATAAACATGAATGTTAAAAGAAATAGAAGTTCCAATATAAATTTTTTAATTTTACAACTAGTTTTAACTTACAGTGGAATAGCAAATGCCATGTGTCTAAAACAAAAAATTCTGAAATAATATAAACACACCAGTATAAACTTAGTTTATGATATTGGATGCCACATGTTTAATTTGGAAATTAATAAAAATTGCAATTTATAAAAGCATATTAACTAGCCATGTAAACTTAGCTGTAACTAACCTAAATAAATATACCTATCAAAGATGTAACATTTTTAATTTTATAACTGATTTAAACTAATATGGTATGTTAGTACATGTCATATGTCTAAAATATAAAGTTAAAAAAGACTATAAATAATCCATTTAGTCTATATTATAGAAATAATTGCTCAACAAACCCTTTACTACTAGTAAAGGATTAGTTAAACTTTTATTTCTATAATATAGACTATATGGATTGCATATATTCTTGCATAATTTTCTAGATTTAGACATGTAGTAACTTACCATATATGATATGATCACTCCAGCTTCTGTATCTAAAGTGATTTCCCGCTTAGACTCTTCTACAGCTTGCGGCTCGGACAACATACCTGTTATAGTCTTGCAGAAGTGTTCTCCTGAGCTGTCGTCTATCTTTTCAAAACTATTCAACAAGTGCTTATCAGAGTCTTGTTTTCCAGCCTGCTGGAAAGCAGCATCTGTTATCCCTATTTTTAAAAATTCTGGAGAGCGATCTGACTCATCTAACTACCGTCCCATTAGTCCTCTTCCTATCATAAGCAAGGTTTTTGAATCTTTAATTAACAAACACTTAATCTCTCATCTTGAATCTAATGACTTACTTTCTGATCATCAATATGGATTTCGATAGCAAATCAGCTCGTTCTACGGCTGATTTGCTATCAGTAATAATCGATAGGTTTTATCGCGCATTAGATAACGGTGGAGAGGTTAAGACCATTGCTCTTGACATTTCTAAAGCGTTTGATAAAGTTTGGCATGCTGGTCTCCTCCATAAGCTTTCTTCGTATGGTGTATCTGGAAACATCTTTAAGATTATTGAATCCTTCCTTTCCAATCGTAGTATAAAAGTTGTCCTTGATGGACAGCACTCTTCTTCTTATTCTGTAACCTCAGGGGTTCCCCAAGGTTCAATCCTTGGCCCTATACTCTTTTTAATTGACATTAACGATCTTCCAGATATTCTCACATCTAAGGTGGCATTGTTCGCTGATGATACTACCATTTATTCTTGTCACGATAAGAAGCCAACTTCCTCTGATTGCTTGCAGGGGGCATCTGAGCTCGAAAAGGATCTCATTTCTGCTACAGCATGGGGCTCACAGTGGCTGGTGAACTTTAATTCAGATAAAACTCAATTTTTTTCGGCCAATCGTTATCGCAATAATTTAGACCTTCCTATATTTATGAACGGTAATGTACTCGATGAGTCTCCTACCCTTCATCTTCTAGAATTAACTCTTACTTCTGATCTTTCTTGGAAACCTTATATCAAATCCGTTGCAAAATTAGCATCTGCTAAAGTTGCTTCTCTTTATCGAGCTCGTCACTTTCTTACTCTGGATTCTATTCTCTATCTCTATAAATCTCAAATCCGGCCTCGTATGGAATACTGTTGCCATATCTAGGGCGGATCTTCTAATGATGCCCTTTCTCTTTTAGACAAGGTGCAAAAACGCATTTTACAAATACTATAATGGGCACTGCTCTAAAGAGCCAGCGTCTCTTGTGCCATCTACTAAAATTCATTCTCGTGTTACTCGTCATTCAGTTAAGTCTCATCCTTTTTCTGATACTGTTCCTAAGTGCTCCAAAAACTCTTATTAGTCTAGTTTTTTTCCTCGAACATCAGTTCTTTGGAATTCGCTTTCTTCATTTTGCTTTCCTGATTCATATAATTTGCAATATTTTAAGTCGTCTGTCAATCGTTATCTTGTTCTACAATTTTCATCTTTTCTCTTCCAGTAACTTCCAACACTAATTAGTGGTTGCTTGCAACCTTATTGGAAATGAAGATAATTAAAAAAAATAATAATAATAATAATGTATTAAATTACCATATATGTTATTATATATTATTTAGTAATACTAATAGCTTTTAATTTAAAACAAAATAAACCTTATGGTTAAATTTTCTATATAAAGCTTTATATAGAAAATTTAAAATAATCTAAATAACCTTCGAAATTACAAATAACAGGGCGTAATTTAAATTATATTTATCCATTTGCTTTGTCTACTAAATGTAAAGCTTTTTAAAAAATGGCATATTACACTTACTGCAACCAACAAAACGCATTCAAAATAAAAAGCTATAATATACATCAATATTGAGCGCTCATTCACAAATAAATTACTTGGTATTTTAATAGACGAAAACTTATCCTGGAGAGCTCATATAAATCATATTAGCAATAAAATCTCAAGAAGTATTGGCATCTTATATAAAACCAGACAAATCTTAGACAAATCTACACTAACTCAACTATATTTTGCATTCATAAATAGTTATTTATCTTATGGCAATATTGTTTGGGGTAGTACAAATAAATCTAAACTCGACTGTCTCCTTAAACAACAGAATCATGCAGCACGCATTATTCATTTTCAAAATCGCTTCACAAATGCTAAACTTCTTCTAAAAAGCATGAGGGCACTTGATATTTATGAGTTAAATATTTTCAAAATTACACAATTTATGTTTCAACATCAGTCAAAAAAAACGCCGAAGGTTTTCGAAAATATTTTCCATAAAACATTAAACCGATACAACACGCGATCTACCTGAAGTTTTAAAAAACCTTTCCGTTCATCAAAACTTACGAGCTTTGCCATTTCCTATCATGGCCCAATGCTATGGAACCATTTTACAAGTCTGAGTGGTAAACTGAAAGAAGCCAATACCTCTCAAAAATTTAAAAAGAACATAATCGAACTTATTGCCAATCACGATTCT